TTTATCGCAATGGTTTTAGTCTCGTTTTAATAACATTATCTAGGTGGCGGATGTAGATGCAGAATGTTCACTATAGTGAGTTCCATTCTTCAACGGCTTTTCTAATCATTGTAGTCGCTCTGGAATTTGCATCTAATGCAGCTGCTATTGTTGTATTAATGTTGAGTTTTATGTGCTGGATTTCAGTTGCTTCACATTCTAGTAAGTAGTGCAATAGTGGCGCCTCTGCTTAGTTCCACAGATATGACACTCTTTAACTATTGGTTTTATTATCTCCCAGCAGCACTTGTAGCCAAGTCTGAGTCTCTGTATGGCTACTGCAATGTCTATGGAGACTTGATAGTTAGGAGTATTTTGTTCTAGATTTGCTCCTTAATCAGTGAAAAATTTGGAGGAATTTTAACCTGTACAACAGGTAGAGCAGTGGCAGTTTTTGCTAGTGAGTCTGCCGTTTCATTACCATCTATGCCAATGTGACTTGGTATCCAATTTAGAGGGATTGACAGCCCTTGATTGTTTGCTTCTTTTCCTGTATGTAGGATTTCTGTGACGAGTTGTATATTATCGCTGTGCTGACTGGATAACAATGCCTGGAGAGAACATTTAGAGTCGGTATGAATGATGACATCATGTAAATCATTCTCAATTGAATAATTTATGGCCTCCTTCAGGGCATGGAATTCTGTTTGCAATGTTGAGCACCCACTATTCATGCTCCAGTAAGCTTCATGGTTGTTAGTGTAAACTGCTGCCCCAGCAGAACCTCTTTCTTGATCAACTGATCCGTCTGTGAAGATGTGAGTCATTGTAGGTCTTGAGATGGTTTCCATTTGTTGTTCTATGACTGCTATGAGCCTCTGCGAGTCACATGCTAATTTTTTAACTGGTAATCCTTCAATGATTATCTTTAGACTCGATTCTTTCTATGGAGGAGGCTGCCGAAAGTGTTGATATGGTCTATCTTCCCCTTTGTTTTAAATGGTCCATTTCAAGTCCACTTTCTCTAGAATCTTGACCAGATTATCCGTCCATACACTTGTTCTATATTGAAGGTTTCTCTGAAGCGATCTGTGTACTCTCTTTGATTGACAGTCTGGCGGTGGTTCCAACAAGTTTTGCTGGTATGGTGGCTATTCTTAGTTTGATCCTGTTTTCTAAGGCTGGTAAGTTGGTTTCCATTCATAGATTCTCTCGACGCGTCCATATAGGTGCTCCCAGCATTGTTCTGAGGGGCATCATTTTGAGACACTTCCAGTTTCTCCCATTGGTTATCACTGAGGGATGTAAGAGCAGGAGCAGCATAGTCAATGAGTGACCTAACTGCTTGAACGTAGTACATTTTGAGTACTGGTAGAGATGCAGCATCTCTAAGACTGGTCAGAGAGCGCAAAGCTGAGTTTCTGGCTTTACAACGTTATCTTGAGGTTATCTTGAGATGATTTTGGGGCTTTAGTGTCCCCGCGGCCCGGTCCTCGACCAGGCCTCCACCCCCAGGAAGCAGCCCGTGACAGCTGACTAACTCCCAGGTACCTATTTACTGCTAGGTAACAGGGGCATTCAGGGTGAAAGAAACTTTGCCCATTTGTTTCTGCCTCGTGCGGGAATCGAACCCGCGCCACAGAATTACGAGTCCTGCGCGCTATCCACCAGGCTACGAGGCCCCTATGCCGAAGATATTAAATTTCTTGAGTGAATTTCAACTGCCGGCTATTATGACTCCAATGTATTGAAAAGAGGTAAGTCATTCAATTTCGTGACCTTGTATTGCGAGACTGATGTCTTGAGTTCTCACTTTAACGCTCATTGCTTTGGTTTTATTGCTGTTTATTTTCACTGATATGCGTTCCGCTTCCCTGCTGATAATATCTAGGCATTTTTGTGCATGGTTCCTTGCGCCTTTGTCATTGATGATGACCACAAAGTCGTCTGCATAGTTAAGAAGTTTGGCTTTTGGTAGCTTGAGCTTCATGAATTGTTCCATGAGACAGTTGAAGAGGAAGGGGCTTAGTATTCCTACCTGCGGAGTACCATTTTCCAGCCTCTTTGAGGTCGATGTTTTTCCTTGGAATTTGACTGTAGCTTCTCGGTTAAGCAGGTTTCCTTTGGCAAAGACCAGAGCGTGACCTTTGATTTCCTTATCCACAAGGCAGCACAATGTAGCTGGAGCATTGGCTAACTCGAAGGCTTTTTCAAGGTCTAGAAAAATAAGGATTCCAGGTTTGTCATTGATTTGATCCAGGAGGGAGGTAAGGCACTCTGTGGTTCCAACACCTTTTCTGTAAGCAAACATATGTTGGTGCAGTGGATTGGCTTTCTACTCAATTCGATTAAGAGCTATTCTTTCCTCAGGTTTGACCAGACCGCTTGTTAATGAGATGGGTCTTGGATTTCCTGGGTCTTTAGGTTTTGGAATGGGAACTATAATTACAGTATTCCAAGAGAGTGGTCGAGTTCTTGTCACTCATACTCTGTTGATGAGATTCAAGAAGGCTTCTTCACCCTTTTCTCCTAGCTTGGCCAGCATGTTGTAAAGTATTTTGTCCTCACCTGGAGCTGTGTCTTTAGTTTTCTCTGTAGCTCTTAGTAATTCTTTCAGACTGAAAGGTTGGTCCAGTTCGTCAGGTAAGGCATCTTTTTCTGCCATCTTGCTGCTTGAAGTCTTTGTTGGTGAGTCAGAGTGGCTTGAGGAAGTTGAGTGAAACTGGCTCTTGAAACAAATAGGTTTGCTAATCTTTCTGCTTCTTGCTCTGGATGAACATGATTGGGCGGAGAAGAAGGCGATTTTTCTTTGGCCTTGTTGATCTGCCTCCAGATGTCGCCCAAGGATGTATGCTGATTTAGCTTGCCACACCACTCGAGCCATTTTTCTTCTCTGATTTTTGCTGTTTCTTCGTGCACATGATCTCGGAGAGCTCTAAGAAGTTCCAGAGTAGCTTGGGTTCTGTCTCTTCTGAAATTCTTTCGTGCACAATTTAGTCTGTTATTTAGTACAATTTAGTCCGGGCTCGGGAACTGGAGGTCTGGGAGGTAGAGCTATATTAATAACTGTTCTTGTAGCAAAGTGGTCACTAGTCAGTACATGGTCAACTGACCAATGACACAACTCATAAACACTGGTGGAGACAAACGTGAGATCCAACTTGCCCCCACCAGTGTGGGTTGGTTCCGTCGAGTTAAGCAGACTGACTTCAGGAACTTCATCCAAAAGATGTTCAATATGTCTTCCGTGTACGTCGGTTCTTGTTGAATCAAGTAGTAATTCACTATGAGCGTTGACGTCTCCCGAGATGATAGTGGGAGTGGTGACTGTTCTTTCAAAAATTGCAGAGTGATCCATGTCGTGCTCTCTATGGCGCCTGTATACACTGAAGATGGATAGCATTGAGTTCCTCATAATGAGATTAACTCCCGTTATTTCGACGTTCTCACCACAGTTAGGCAGGTCTGTGATTGCCGTGGCATTGATATGATTTCTTACTAGCATTGAAGTGCCTATGGTCCCACCTTGTGCAATAGAGCAGTGGAAACCTTGCTATCCTGGGATATTGATATATTTTCCAGTCCTGGTAAGTGTTACTTGAAGTAAAACAATATCAATGTTGTCCTTGAGAAGCACTGCTCTGAGTGTTTGTGCTTTGTTTTTGAATCCTTGAATATTCCATTGTATAATCTTGAGATTGTAAATTATTTTGTAGGAGTTGAAGCCATTGAGTCCATTGTAGTTTCTAATGTGCTGATTTCCCCGACGGCGTGTGTCTTCTTGGTTGGAGTGGAGACTGCCAGTTTCGTCATCTTCGACTTCTACTTCGTCAGCCATTTCAGGTAGAGCTTGAAGAAGTGTGGTAGAAATAAGCTCAGTAGATTGTATTTTTATCTCTGTTAACATATCCTTCCTTGACTGAGGGTTGGTCTGTTCCAGTGCTTGGAATGCTTTGTCAAGCATCTTGCTGAAGATCTCTGTCAAGTAGGCAATAATCATTGGAACAGTTGTCACTTGATATGCCTTTGGCTACCATTTTTGTTCTCGGTAGGTGAGGGGATTCTGGGTTGGGTCATGGTGCCTTTGCTGCATCCAGCTGGCACACACACGTTACCCAGGACACTATATACTGTTGTACCCAGTGAAACTAAGAGCACCGCTTTCTCGTTTGTGTCTTTAATTCCATGGTACTGGAAGTTTGCTTCCAGCAGGCTCAGCCACAGCTCTAGCATCTTGGTAGCATCAAACGGTTACATTTTGATTAGGGACGAAGTAACCATAGCCAGGGGATGAACACAACTCACATTAGGGGACGAAGTAACCATAGCCAGGGGTTGATTAGGGACGAAGTAACCATAGCCAGGGGTTGATTAGGGACGAAGTAACCATAGCCAGGGGTTGATTAGGGACGAAGTAACCATAGCCAGGGGTTGATTAGGGACGAAGTAACCATAGCCAGATGGGGGGGGGGGGGTTGAACACATCTCACTGTTGAGTAAGTTGTAGCCCGTCCGCACACGGTTCTCTTGCTACCCTGATGCTCCTCGCCTCATATTGCTCCCGGCCTCCCTGCACCTGCTGGCAGTCCTCGTCACCACTGTTGTGTGTGGACGTGGAGACAAACACACGTCGTCACGTCCACATGGCTCTACTCACATAATACAATGACGTCACGCTGATATAGGTGCCATGAATGTGAACAGTAAATACCTTATAGACAAATGAGCATTGGCTCTTAACATTATGAACCTAATCCTAAGTGAACATATTCCTGCAAAATACCTTTATCCTAACAGTTTTTATCATAAATTTACCAAAATGTGGAACAGACTCAACACAAATCACTTTTGTTCACTTTTATTGTACTTGAATTTGTAGATAATATGAAGAAAGTAGAGAATTTGTAATAAATTGTTTGCATTACACAATTTCATATAAAATACATTTTCATAATTATAGTTTCAGGGACTTGTATCAGGAAGATGCTTATTAAAGGTAATTATGTTTTGTTGTCCCACAGACTGTGTAACAATCATCAGTGGTGAGAAGGTGCTCTTTATGAGCCCAAGAGAGCAAGAGGACGTAATGTGCCGCTGGGTTTATCTGAAAGACTTACCAAACAAATGTCCTGAGGAGGAATGTGTACACTTATGGCTTAGCTATTTGAGCACACAGCACATATCTGATGGCCACTTTCCTGCTACACTCTTCTGGTTTCCACTGAGACAGAACCCATCAGAGATATCTGACACTCTTTACTCATATGATCATGTTGTAAGATTATTTGAATCATTTGGCGTGGAAGCTTCTATTTGTTTAACATTTCTTAAGTCTCTGGAGAAAATAAGCTTGAACAGGTTCACTGAAAATAATAATATTCCAGAAGTTATGCACGAAATAAAGCTCATCAGCCCATCCATGTCTTACATTCGAGAAAAGAGAAGAAATTTTAGAGAAAAGCTCAAAGAATGCCATGGATTACCAGAGCAAACAACTACTTGTGATTACGAGGTCACTGTTCGTAGTGTGAAAGGGAAGAACACTCAAGAGGAGACAATGCGCATTCTTCATTTCCTGCCAGGTTCAAATGAACACTTTTCAGTATCGTGGAGAGGCAAGGACAAGAGCAGTCACATGCCTCTAGTGGGTGTTTCTGCTCCCGTTACTACACAAGAGTCCTCGTGGTCTAGAGGTCATATTTTCTGCTTTCTTCCTCTACCTCTAGAAACTGAGAACAATACGAATCTTCCCATTCAGGTCAACGGTTTCTTTGCACTTGATCAAAACAGAAGACATGTTAAGTGGGAGACACAAGAGAGCAGCAACGAACCTGATGTAAGTATCAAATATTATTACATGTCTTTATATGATGGACATTTATGTAAGTTATAATGTTTTGTTGGTTGATGACTTGAAGAGTAAGCTTGATGACCCAAAGAGTATTCTTAAATTCTTTGAGTTTATCATTGATGACTTTCAGATTATCTCTGAGTTTAACTTTGATGACTTTTTGATATTATCTTTGATGTCTCTGTGCGTATCTTGACGACTTTGAGTGTTTCCTTCTTACATAAAAGAGTGAATGAGAGTGTCATCTGAAGCATAAAGATAAATTAGAGAGAATCTTTATATGAGGGAAGATGACTTAAAGAGTAACCTTGGACTGCAAGATGTAATGAGAGTATCATTGAATGGGTAAGATGACTCGGAGAGTAACTTTTGTTAAGAAATATTTTGAAGAAATTACCGTTGACTATTTTTTCTTACTACCTGAAGTATAATGTTAGTTAAGAAAAGAGTTGAAAGATACCTTTGACTAATTTTTTTTACGAAAGAAGCATTATTTGGTTAAGAAATGATTCAAAGATATTTTACTTAACTATTTTCAGTAGTGTGAAGTGTAATGTTAGTAAAGAAACGATAAAAAATGATTGTCTTCATAAATTAGTTATGCATAAAGCGTGGTTTGTTTAAGATCAGTCATGGTAAGAAATAATAAGTTGATAAGCAGAAATACATTGACGTAGTTTTACAACTAATTTTCAGTAAATGGATAAATAAATATTTTGTAACTAACTAAAGTAAATAATTTGTAACTAAAAAGATTAACTTGTTGAGAAACAAAATGGTGTTTCTCTTATGGTGTTTTCCTGTTCCAGGTTTTGTGCTACAGTGTACAACACTGCTGGAAGTAACACTACATATGGTTACTGTTACTGAGAGTGGTACTGTTACAGTGTAACACTGCAGGAAGTAACACTACATATGGGTACTGTTACAGTGTAACACTGCAGGAAGTAACACTACATATGGGTACTGTTACAGTGTACTACACTGCTGGAAGTAACACTACATATGGGTACTGTTACAGTGTACAACACTGCTGGAAGTAACACTACATATGGGTACTGTTACAGTGGACAACACTGCTGGAAGTAACACTACATATGGGTACTGTTACAGTGGACAACACTGCTGGAAGTAACACTACATATGGGTACTGTTACAGTGTACAACACTGCAGGAAGTAACACTACATATGGGTACTGTTACAGTGGACAACACTGCTGGAAGTAACACTACATATGGGTACTGTTACAGTGGACAACACTGCTGGAAGTAACACTACATATGGGTACTGTTACAGTGTACAACACTGCAGGAAGTAACACTACATATGGGTACTGTTACAGTGTACAACACTGCTGGAAGTAACACTACATATGGGTACTGTTACAGTGGACAACACTGCTGGAAGTAACACTACATATGGGTACTGTTACAGTGGACAACACTGCTGGAAGTAACACTACATATGGGTACTGTTACAGTGTACAACACTGCTGGAAGTAACACTACATATGGGTACTGTTACAGTGGACAACACTGCTGGAAGTAACACTACATATGGGTACTGTTACAGTGGACAAAACTGCAGGAAGTAACACTACATATGGGTACTGTTACAGTGTACAACACTGCTGGAAGTAACACTACATATGGGTACTGTTACAGTGGACAACACTGCTGGAAGTAACACTACATATGGGTACTGTTACAGTGTACAACACTGCTGGAAGTAACACTACATATGGGTACTGTTACAGTGGACAACACTGCTGGAAGTAACACTACATATGGGTACTGTTACAGTGGACAACACTGCTGGAAGTAACACTACATATGGGTACTGTTACAGTGGACAACACTGCTGGAAGTAACACTACATATGGGTACTGTTACAGTGGACAACACTGCTGGAAGTAACACTACATATGGGTACTGTTACAGTGTACAACACTGCTGGAAGTAACACTACATATGGGTACTGTTACAGTGTACAAGACTGCGGAGGTATCATATGTGAAGTGTAAACTAATTTACAGTTTATTTAGAAATAGATAAGTTTCGAGTAGAGCATTATAGTTTACAATTATTATATATATTTTTCTTCAGGTTCTGTGGAATGAAGAACTGGTGTGTAAAGTTGTAGTTGAGGCGTACTTTACTCTCTTGGGTAAAGTTGTTGAGGAGCTGGGCTCACCACCAAGACCAAGCCACCTGACAACTTGGTACAGTCTCCTGCCAGACATTGAGTCTTCAACAGGAAGGTGGAGGAAACTTGCCACTCACTTATGGTCAAGACTAAAATCTCTCCCTATTTTGTTCTCAGAGGTAAGTGAAGATTTATTGAACTTCAACATTGTAACAATGTACATAAATGTGTAACTTCCCTGTGTTAATATGTATTTAAACTCTGACGTTTTCATGAAGAAAACTTTAACTATGAATGATAGGAAATTAATGAAAAATTTGCATAGTTTTGAATTAGCTGCATAAATGAGGTAGAATTAATAAATAAATATTTCAAACTTATAAAGTGAGGAATATGGTGACAGGTAGCCAGCAGGTATGTTTTGAGCAGTGTCAGGGTTAATTACTGGTGTGTGTAGGGGTGGTGCTGTAGAAGTATTCCCAGGGTATTACAGGTGTGTGTAGGGGTGGTGCTGTAGAAGTATTCCCAGGGTATTACAGGTGTGTGTAGGAGGTGGTGTTGTAGAAGTATTCCCAGGGTATTACAGGTGTGTGTAGGTAGTGGTGTTGTAGAAGTATTCCCAGGGTATTACAGGTGTGTGTAGGTAGTGGTGCTGTAGAAGTATTCCCAGGGTATTACAGGTGTGTGTAGGTAGTGGTGCTGTAGAAGTATTCCCAGGGTATTACAGATGTGTGTAGGGGTGGTGCTGTAGAAGTATTCCCTGGGTATTACAGGTGTGTGTAGGGGTGGTGCTGAAGAAGTATTCCCAGGGTATTACAGGTGTGTGTAGGTAGTGGTGTTGTAGAAGTATTCCCAGGGTATTACAGGTGTGTGTAGGTAGTGGTGCTGTAGAAGTATTCCCAGGGTATTACAGGTGTGTGTAGGTAGTGGTGCTGTAGAAGTATTCCCAGGGTATTACAGGTGTGTGTAGGAGGTGGTGTTGTAGAAGTATTCCCAGGGTATTACAGGTGTGTGTAGGTAGTGGTGTTGTAGAAGTATTCCCAGGGTATTACAGGTGTGTGTAGGTAGTGGTGCTGTAGAAGTATTCCCAGGGTATTACAGGTGTGTGTAGGGGTGGTGCTGTAGAAGTATTCCCTGGGTATTACAGGTGTGTGTAGGGGTGGTGCTGTAGAAGTATTCCCAGGGTATTACAGGTGTGTGTAGGTAGTGGTGCTGTAGAAGTATTCCCTGGGTATTACAGGTGTGTGTAGCGGTGGTGCTGTAGAAGTATTCCCAGGGTATTACAGGTGTGTGTAGGTAGTGGTGTTGTAGAAGTATTCCCAGGGTATTACAGGTGTGTGTAGGTAGTGGTGCTGTAGAAGTATTCCCTGGGTATTACAGGTGTGTGTAGCGGTGGTGCTGTAGAAGTATTCCCAGGGTATTACAGGTGTGTGTAGGGGTGGTGCTGTAGAAGTATTCCCAGGGTATTACAGGTGTGTGTAGGTAGTGGTGCTGTAGAAGTATTCCCAGGGTATTACAGGTGTGTGTAGGGGTGGTGCTGTAGAAAGGGTATTTTGTAGCCCATCGGTCTACATTGCTTACAGCAGATCAGTGATGCACTGGTTCAGTTCACAATATGTTTATGGAAAAAATTGTTGGCGAGAGACTGGACGGTGTTACACAGTGATGGCGTCGTCGTGAGGGAAGGTGCAGACAGGTGAAGCTATGGAAAGAACTCGAGGTGAGATTGTGTCTGTCAGGCGAGACTGTGGAGCTCAGAACGTTCTCTTCCTTGACCATGATTGATTGATTGATTAAGAATAAGCCACCCTAGAAGGGGCACGGGCATGAATAGCTCGTAAGCGGAGGCTGTGTGAAGCCATTACCAGCACCAGTAGCTGACACTGTTGATCTGTGGATGAATGGGGTCTGGAAAGTGGGACAGTCGGAAGTATAGTCTGGAGAGGAAGCTTCGGCGTCCCACAGAGTTGAGCCAGGGCTCAACCCAGCAACCGGGCGAGGATTTACTGACAGAGAGAAAAATCAGTCACACCGCACCAAGCACCTGGGAGGAGAGGGGGGGGGGAGGGGTGGTCGGGAAGCAGGTCGAGCAGGCGTGACTGGCGACAGACAGTGTAAGGTATCAAGGGAGACGATATTCCACGGTAAGTCGATGGTGATCGCCTGACCATTTCTGAGAGCGGTGTATCGTCCTGTAGTTGTGTCCAACATGCCAGGTGCCTCGTGACCCTTCAACATGGACATTCCTTCCCGATGAGACGTCGAGACTGCCTCTCCGGAGCCATACTCTTCTACGCCGGAGAGATACTCGTCGTCCACATGCTCGTCTGAAGATGCCTAGTCCTCTTCGTCCTGTGTCGCCAGTATTCCTACTTTGTTTGTGTTGTGTACCGCTGTCAGTGTCGTCTGGGTGTCCGTAGTTGTCGTCGTCCGTGGAGTGTCCCTCTGGGTGTCCGCAGTTGTCGTCGTCCGTGGAGTGTCCCTCTGGGTGTCCGCAGTTGTCATCGTCCGTGGAGTGTCCCTCTGGGTGTCCGCAGTTGTCGTCGTCCGTGGAGTGTCCCTCTGGGTGTCCGCAGTTGTCATCGTCCGTGGAGTGTCCCTCTGGGTGTCCGCAGTTGTCGTCGTCCGTGGAGTGTCCCTCTGGGTGTCCGCAGTTGTCATCGTCCGTGGAGTGTCCCTCTGGGTGTCCGCAGTTGTCATCGTCCGTGGAGTGTCCCTCTGGGTGTCCGCAGTTGTCGTCGTCCGTGGAGTGTCCCTCTGGGTGTCCGCAGTTGTCATCGTCCGTGGAGTGTCCCTCTGGGTGTCCGCAGTTGTCATCGTCCGTGGAGTGTCCCTCTGGGTGTCCGCAGTTGTCATCGTCCGTGGAGCGTCCCTCTGGGTGAACTGGAGGTTCATCCTCTTAACGAAAATCGTTCTCCAGCCGTGATTTGTCTAGAAGAAATGGGGGAGAGGTTGGCCTCCAGTAGTGGGACCCGGTGTTCCGGATCCTGGATCTTTTCTAGGTCCGCTTTTGTTGCCACGATTACCGTGGCCTCGTTACCATTAACATGAACATCAACTGGTCCCACTGTTGTTGCCCTGTCGATGGCGGCTATTTCACAAGTCAGCTGCACTGTTAGTTGTGTGAGAGCCACCAAGTTCCCATACTCTTCACCTTGTAGCTCTTCACCTCAGGTGTACTCTTCACCTTCACCTGAGTGCGTGTTGTTTGGTGATACGATGCAGACCTCAAAGTTGGAAGGGACCTTTTAAGCATAGGTTCTCTGTGTATCTCAAATATTCTTATGCAGTCATTCTGGCTTAGTGCTCTCACTCCTGATAATTATCTTACGTTTCGATACAAGAGTTTTGAATTGTAAATAGACTTTGCTGTCCCGTTGTCAGGGACAGGAAGCCTGTTCGATTGATCGAGGTCCCTATAGGCTAACATCTGACCATTCCCAGGATACAACCCACAACAGTTGTCAGCTTGGTGACCAGAAGCATAAGGTTAAGGAAACGAATGAGATTGTGTCAGTTTGTGCTGGAATCAAACCCGAGACTTTTCAGTTGAGTCTTTCATTAGAACCTACTGTCAGTTCATCAATTTTGGAGGCGAGCTGCTAACTCCAAAATTTTGTTAATTGTTCTGAAGAACAATAATAAACTTATAGACTCCTGATCTCCACATAAGTCGTTAGACTTTAAGCTATTCCGAGCTGACTATCAGCATTTGATTAAATTTGTTATCACTGTATTGCTTATCAAGGTCACATGGTTCATCAGAGTACGGGTCCCTGCGACCCATTACTGGGTCGCAAGGACCTGCTGACTGGGTCATAGATTCACTACAAAAGAATAAATAGAATGTGAGAAAAATATTGATAAAACTGAAATAATTAAGAATTTGAAATATGAATGTATATAATAATCTTATTTATAAGATTATAAATAACCTTTGTTATCAATAATTTATTTCTTAAACTATTAAATCATAACATTAATAGTATACTTGTCATAGTAGAAAAATCACAACAGAGGTTTGATGAGAGAGATAGAGAGAGAGAGAGAGTGGTGGTCGGCAAAATACGAGTCATATGCGTACAGTACGACGAGAATGTTCCACACATCTACTCCTTTGAAACGAACACGAGTTTAGTTGCATGAGTTTAGTAGGAACTTGGAGAGTGTGAGCTGAATCTTTTTTTAGTTGTATGCAATCGATGCACTAACCCTGAGATAAAATGGATCTTTTTATTACTAGAAAGAGTCGAGTTGAAGGGGAAAATGAGACTCATATAGGAGAGGCATCTGTTTATGTGTTCTCTCCTGAACCCCCTTCCAAGAAGAAAAAATCGTAGATAAGGCAATGTAGTGATAAATTTTTGAAGTATGGCTTACAAACATGATTATCATAAAATATCGAGTTCCTCCAGCTCCTCAGATGGCGGGCAGGAACCCTGAATGCACAGTGCATTTCCCCTCTGTTTTGCCAAGCAGAGGTACTGGAAAAGGATGCTGGAAGTTCTAGGGTCTCTTGTTGTTTCAATTAGACTAGAACCCAGTTCCTTAAAACAACTGGTGGCACTCTTACCCCAGGCGTCGAGTGTTTCAGAAGCAATGCCGACAAAATTGTAGTAGTGATCCAGTTCTCTGTACTTAAGGGACTTGGCTGATTCCCTGTGAGTGGCAACGCCCCCCGGATATGCAACACTGAAGTCAATGAAGGTGTTAGCCAGGATTGATACACACGTGTAGTCTCATACCAACTGTTTGTCACCCTTCCAAGGGTTCACTGTGATACCATCTAGGTGAACAATTAGAGAAGCAGAGCTAAGGAGCGTTAGGTAACGGGGCTCTCTCTCTCTCTCTCAGCTGGGCATCAGCTGTGGTGAGGTTCCTCTTGATGAAGTCGTTAACTTCACTGTGCCTTGAGTGCCATCCCCCTGTGCTTTGGCAGAGTAGGCCATTGTAGCCGTACCTGTCAGCCACCACCTCGCCGCAAATACATCTCTGTCTGGTGTGGATTGGGGCAACAAGGCAGAGGGCCACAGAAATTCGGAGGGAGTGTGGTGCGTGTCAGTTGCCAACATTGGGATTACTAACAGGAAGTCCCTTGCATGTGGGGCTGCTACTGCTGTGAGGCGAGCAATGTCGTGTTGTGTTTTTGCAGCACCCAGGCATTCTGCATCAACTTGGTCTACAAGATAATATGTGCTCACCATAGCCCGTGCTACTTGGAACTTTTTGTTCC